ACGTACCGTAAAAAGATTAAAACTTAATTATAACTGGCGTCACATGAAAAAAGACGTAAAACATTATATTAAACATTGCGAATTATGTCAAGGAAATCGCGAGTATCGTATACATAAAAAATAACGTAAAACGTTATTGCGACGATGACGATACCGAATAAATTATTACAAATTCATTTTTCTTAACTTACCTACTTATTATAAATTTTTCCTACCAAATTCTTTTATTATTATTTTAGGGACAAACGAAGAAACTTTATGACCACGTTCCGTACAACGTTAACAGTACAACAGCACTGCCACACGGCCTTATATCCCGACGAAATTCCGCGGTGTATGCTTAACCATATAGACACGGCGAATAAAAATTTACTTCAACCGTATACGCCAGTGGAGCTGTTGGAACTCACTCGTACAATTAATCACTTCTCACACGACTTAACAAAAACATTAAGACCTCTACGCAAACCACTTTGTTCATATCTAAGGGAATTTTTGGAAACAACTGAACACCTAGTAGATATACTTGATTATATGCGACTTTAAATTTAAATTTAAAAAAAAAAGCATGTACTCTATTAGCATTTCAATAGCCATTTTCTTTTATAACTATGATAACTATTTAATTCTATTCGATTTTTCTATTAACTTTTCTTCGAATGAATACGTATTTTATAATAACGTCTTCATTTTGACATATGCAGATATATATATATATCTATCGTATATATATGATGTCCAATACATATGTATATATATGTTTTGTTTTTAGTGAACCACCTGAGTTCGCGGTCGTAGATTTTGAATTCACACAATTAGGAAAAGAAAATTTAATCTTAATATCTGGCGCAGTATGTGGTCATTATGAACCATTAGTTACAAAATTCGAAGGACGCGCACTCAAACTCAGAACTAATGAACCAGTAACTACCAGAGAATGGAAAGCTATGGTACACCACCTTGTGAACATTTTTAAGGGAAAACCTAAATAGCTATTCCCTATACTTGCGCAAATCTACGACTCCGACCATACTTCGTGTCCGAACTTAACTCGTACCACGATACAAACAATACTTAACAAGTATAACTTTATAATTCTGTGGGAAGGTTCCACTGACATTAAAATTCTGAACGCTCTCCACATACGTTGTCGAGCATTGACAATGCGAGGGTGGGACACAAATAACAATGGGAACTTCGATTTGCAACTAACGGATATGCTTACGAAGCAATCCATCTGTTCCATTAAAATAGGAACGTTTGAAAAACAAGGACGCGCTTTAAAACTAAGCGAAGCTCATGAACTCTTATGTAAAAATACCCACGGGTTTTCCGAAGCGCACGATCCTAGAACAGACGTTCTATGGACCCGTTGTTTATTCCGTAAATTACAATTAGAATTCCACGATTTAATCAAAAACACAATCGGATGTTAAAGTACAAATTTATTATTATTATATTATTATTATTACTTATAAAAGTAAACATTATATAGGGTGACGGAATATATTATTTTATTATTTTACAATTATAGTTTTATTTTATTATAACAATTATGCATTTTTTTCTATTTGGGATTTGGGAATAAGATTATTCATATTATTATTTTAATTTGCACTTTTATATATATAAAAATAGGTTAATTTTAAAATCTAATACATTTACCTACATAAAATTACCTTGACTAATAAGCTGAAACGGTTTTCAGACTTATACTACTAACTGTACCATTCACGTCGGGACGATTTCGATACACCGACGAACAATTAACACAACATTCCGGTCTATACTACGAAAATCGGGGACCATTGAAACTTATCACATCTCAATGGGACTTAACCGTGTATATTAATTTTGCTAAATACAAAGAAAGATTTATTTATATTGACGATGTTATGAACAAAACCGAAATAATATGTGAAAGTATCAAAAATAATGTTGATACCAATTGTAACAATTTAATGCAAACAGCTAGTAGCATAGTAAACGATTTACGAAAAAAAAAGGAACTATAGACTATGAATACAGTATCTAAAAGAAGTACATTAGGCATGTTAACAAAAGCAGCCAGATTAATATACGGAATATGTAATCTGGAATGCATTAGAAAATTTAATTTTAATATAGAACAAACGCATAACGCACCGCAAATTAAATTAGTTAAAGAACAAAGAAAAATAGTTAAGTTACAAAACAAATTTGATGAACACGAAAACTACAATATAACCTTTTTAATAAACGAAAATAGTAACGTATCTAGGGACCAACAAACAAAAAATTATGTAACAAAACACTTTCTAATTATAAATTTATTATTAATGAAGCATATAGTAGAAACCAATACTTTATTAGAAATAATACAACAAGCGAAATTAGGGATTATCCATACCAGCTTAATATCACCACGGGACCTACTAGAGCACATAAAAGACATTAAAGTATCATTACCTGGGGGCACCGACTTACCCACTGATCTAGATATACAAAATATCTATGAATTGGTAAAGCTCTCAGACCTAGCTATATACTATGTTAATGACAACCTAGTTTTTATACTAACTTTACCATTAATCTATCAAAATGATTTTATTCTATATAACTTAATACCTGTACCAGTTTGTACTGGAAATGATTGTCTCTATGTTAAACCTAGTAATAAGTATCTAGCTATAATTAAAATTTAAGAACACTATTCCATGTATGATGAATTTTACTATACACATTGTAAGCACGCTAGAGACTTCCTTTTATGTCCTGAAGGTAATCCTTTATACCCGCGTACAAGTAGACCAGCATGCGAAGTTCAACTTTTGCAGGATCCAATAAAAGTTCCATCAACTTGTGAAATAATGCACGTCCAAATCGGAACATCCATATTCCACAAGAAACGATTCAAGAACGAGTGGATATACGTAACTAATTATGATGTAGTATTTATTACATGCGACGAAGACAAGGAATCCACAAGTCACACATTAAGGGGAGTAGGCATTTTGCGACTCAACGAAACTTGCAAAGGATACGCCGCAAGAGACGTACTTATACCAGGAAAAGTCGACTACAAATCTGAATATATGGATTTCAACCCGAAGTCAACTATAGAACGTATCAAAGATATGCCGTACACCGACAACAATAACTTGATGGAAGACTACCATGTGAAAACAAATAACATGGATGACCTACATACCGTGTCAGGTTCAAAGAAACAACTTGAAACACAACGCAAGGTTGATCACAAGATAAACGAACTAAAGAATACACAACAAGTAAACGACTACGTACTTTACGTAATCACAAGTATCACTTTTATGGCAATTATCATTATATGTTTATCCAAATACAATAAATTTAAATGTTACGAAAAAATAAACACGGAAGAGGAACCAAACCAAGATGAAGAAAGTGAAAGCTTAGCTACAGCACCTAGAGCAGTCGACATGGTCGAATATCCTCTTACGCCTAGGAATAGCCCAATAAGCTATCCAAGTACAAGACAGTTTAACTTCAATTAAAACTTTTTCGGAAGTCAGGGACTTCCAGCTTCGAGGGGAGGAGTGTAGTAAACCGACAGAGTCGCTTTCCTATAATTATACATCATAAGGACTTTGCACTATATGATATATTGATCAACGACTATACCACGCCCTGAGGTTTATTACATATTTAAAAATCGCATAACGATTTCTAATAATACATATTGCCAAATAAACCAGTTCACAACTCAAGGTTTATTCGACAACTTTTAACATTTACGCCGGTACCTTTCATACCGCCGGTATTCCTTTGATCCACCTCCGAGTCTCTACCGTGTACCTAATAACCTAGGGAGACTTTGTATATATACGAGTCTCCGTCTGTATCTAAATTAGAATTAGTTCAGTGCTAGTACGACGTACATACTTGTAAGTACTTAGTATTAACCACTAATCTCTCGGGCAGACGCTTATCGCTCTGTCCTCAAATTTCTATATTCAAATGTAATACCATTATATTATTATTAACTTTAAAATAAATTACTTAAATTATAACGTTGTAACTTGTAACTCTGCAACCTTTTCTCCTACTCAATCATCAACGTCGTCAAACTCAAAATATAAGCGTTAGTGAGGGATCACTACAGTACCTAATGGATAATGTGATATGATTAATTTGGAATTTATTATAGGTCAATTTTTTTTTTAATACCATAGATATGTATATAATTGTCTTAAACCTAGACTGACATACCGTCTTCGCTCAGAATCGTTTTTCTTATACAATGATATTGTATCATTGAATTCAAATTTAATAGCATCCATTATACAGTGACCCACTTGTAACCTACTGTACAGCAGAGCGACATCCACTTACCCACCTATTTTCTTTCAAATCCTTATTAATTAATGGTCTTGGACTCTTGGGATTTTCAAATAGTGTAACTGTAAAACACGATTTTAGATAGGTAATTAATTAATTAAATTCTTAAATAGTGCTGTAAAATTATAATACCTATTATAGTATTATTCTAATATTCTATTTCATTTTCTACTATTATCATACAACATTCATATCATTCACAATATCAGAGAACATTGAACAATATTATTTTAGATAATTGATAGGACTATCTTAAATCTTAAAAAAATTAAAATATTATACGGTTTTAGAAAAACATAAACCTAGAAATTAAAAAAAAAAAAAATTCAAAAAAAGTTAATACGTTTCGAGATAATTAGTGTACCCACTTAAATGGACCACCCTGTATATAAGGTAAACAATAATAATGACTTATCACTGGCGACGATGTCGAACGATGGATTTGCTCGGCGTAGATTACGGCTGTAGACGGTGTATTCCGGGCGATCAGCTGAGCGGTGGCGTCGACCCATTTAGGGCTAGTTCACATGAGAGGCGTTAAACGCGCGTCGACATTGTTACCACTGTTCACATGTTTACTGAATTTACGCGCTAAGTGCGCGCTTATACCGTAGTCAATCGAGTACTGTATACTGTCGAAGATGGATGTTGCAGATGCAATTTGTTTATGGATACTGTATCGAAGAAGACTGCGTCGTAGACAAAAAGCACGAAAATATTGGGTTCATAGTATTTTACAAAATAGACTTATCTCAAGCTTATACATTACGCTTTATCCGAGTCTTAGGAATTATGAACCTAAATTTTTCAACTACTTCAGAATGTCAATTCAATCTTTTGATGACTTGTTGGAACTAATAAAGGGAGAACTTACTGCTGATGAAAGTGCAATTAGGTATTGCATTTCACCTGAAGAAAAACTTATAATAACTCTGAGGTATGTACTTTAATTTTTATTTTACAAACATAACAAATTACTTTAACTTGAAATATACTTTGAAACTAAAATATTTTTAAAAATGAAAACTTATTTATTAATGATTTTTACATAATTAATATTAAAAATTGTATTTAATACTTTTTATATTATAAACTTGTTAATAATTTTCTTCAAATAAATCCATAATTGATTCTTGAGAAACTTCACTGACATTTGATGGTGTTGGAGAAGGCGAAGATAATGAAGTCAATTGATGTTGATAATTGTTTTTCTCTATAGTAGTATAATCTTGATGATGTCTGCGTGCGGGTGTGTCATATGATGTAGTAGTATCATAGTTTGGGTATACAATGTTACTTGGCATATATTGGTGATTATACATTGGAGAGTGATATTGTTTGATTTTGTAGTATTAAATTATATATATATCAATTTTGAGTTTCAGACGTTTGGTCGTAGTTAAAGTTATTATCGTACGAAAAAAAAAATTTTAACTATCGCATAACTTTAGCACGAAGATAGATTGAGTGTACTTTTGGTATTATTATTAATAAATGGCGTATATTACATCGTCCACTAGACGTGGACATCGATTTTGCAGAATATATTGTGAAAGCAATTTGAGTACTCCACAATTATGTAAGAACACGAGATGGCTGCAGTTATGAAGATACATTTTTTACAGCACCCCTATCAAGTTTAACTGGAGCTACAACTGGACGCGCTATACGAGTAGCAGATAATGTTCGAGCCAATTTTATGGATTATTTCACCAATGAAGGAAGTGTAGAATGGCAAAACCGTATGATATAAATGTATACATAGGTACAAAATATTTTAATAGTTATATTAATTTTTAGTCGTAAATAGATGTACAACAATGTATATAAAACTTTATTTTAAAAACAAACAATATGTTTTTTTTTTATTAATAGTTTTAAATAATTAATTTATGTATAGAATTTTTTTCCAAAAAACAATATGAAACAAAATAAATTATGTCTATATTATATATTTAATTGAATTTAAATTTTATATCAAATTATAAAGTACAAAATAGTTAATAATACTTACCATGGAATTTTTTTCTTTCTTCGGTGTCACTTGGGTCACTAAAAATTAGAACAATTTCTTCCCAAGCCTTTCTTTTACTGATTTTATTTAAATATTCACTACTTGTCATATCCCAAATTGGGGGTCTTTTTTCGATTTCGTCGATGAATAAATCAGTATCAAATTCCTCACTATCAATTTTTGATTTTTTAGAAAACTTTTTCGAAAAAACAAATGAAAATATCGAAAAACAAGAACCTATCGCTTCAAAACGCACGTTGCAACACGTCAATGCAAAACTGTACAATGTTCAAACGCGCGTCAACTTGCGCTGACGCGCGTTGACAGTTTTTTTGCGTTGTCGTTGCGTTACCATGTGTACAGTTAATAGCAATTAATAGTAATTGTAAACGCGCGTTTGGCTAACACGCGTTTAACACCTCTCATGTGAACTAGCCCATATTGTTATATATAGGTCGGCTGCGGCGGCGGCGGCCGAGTAGGAACGGCCTTCGGCCAACGACGGCGACGGCGGCGCACAGTACTATCAAGGGGTGGACACTTAAATATTAAAACATGGTAATCATACTTATCAAACAAAAAGGTGGCGGCCATATTCTTATTTATGAATCAGTCTGTCCACACAACGGGAATAACATATCTACAATTATATTGTGTAAATATATAATGAAACTTATAATCACAAAATTATACGGTTCAAGTTAAAAGTTTAAAACCCTAACCTAACCTATTCGAAGACCATGCCTTTAAGACTTAAGTCTAACTTTTTTGCAAGTTTGGCTTGTTTTTAATTAAATAGTACTTAGGTATCTGGTATATTATTAAATTGTAATACAATTTAATTCAAATATAACAGATTATATCTATTTTTCAATATTTGTCTATTTGTGCTGATCGAAAACTTTAGTTTTTTAAAATAACACTTCCGTAAGTATAATAAATATTACTTAAATTAGGACAATAATAATATGTAATTAGGTATACAAAATAGAGAAAAATGATGTTTCAACAGATATTTATTTTAATGTACAATTTAATGTTACAAATGTTTTAAAATTTTGAGTTTTCTATTTGTACGAATTCTTTCAGTCAAAAGTTCTCTGTTTAAAAACTTTAAGGATGAAGAAGTTCTGAATCTTACATATAATTTAATTAAGAATACATGATCAAAATATGGACAAGGATGATTAAATGGTACATTGAAAAATGCATCTTTCATTTTAATGCCTACGTTTTTGTCTACAGCTTAGATTGGAAATTGTTCAATAAATATATTTTCTAGTTCAAAAATAAAATCGTGGAAATCATTGTGTGGTACTTGAAAATGTCCAAAGATGGTCTTATTTTTATCTTCATATGCTTTAAAGTGGCAGAATAGAAATGATTTGTCTAAGTCCTTTTGACTGTGCCCATATTTGATCCATTCATTAAACGTATGCTTTTTTAAACATTTCATATACAAGTATCCAAAAATATAATTTAATGCATTACTTTCAGGTATGTTGAGGTCTCTGTAATCAACATCTTCAATTTTCAAATATGGAATGAAATTGATCAGATTTGCTGTCTGCTTTGGAAGTATTACCGGTGTGTTGCAATTCCCAGTCTCTTCTACATTTGAATGACTTAAAATGCTATCCAAATCTTTTAAGCAATTTGAATTTGGTGAATGTTTAAAATAATTTAAACAGAAGAGTTTTTTGAAGGCACAGTGAAACTGAACAGGTGTCGGATTTAAATTATTCCCATTTTGAAGTCGAAACATACCAAAAAGATTTTCGAGACGATCTGTATTTAAACGCGATGTATAGAGAACAAAATTACAATCATTTGTGGGATTCATGTTACTCCACAATAATAATAGTCCATTTATTGATATCAACCAGCCATTGATGAAGTTCATTCGGTAAGTAAGATTAGAACCATTAATTTCTGTTACAACTCGCAAAGTCTCAAAAAATGATACCATAAGTAAATATTCTCTTTGATTTGACGTGTTCTTAAAAGGTCTCCTGAAGTCTTTACTGTTAGTTGTTTTTGATGAGTTAAATATATCAAACAAATTGTCCATTTTTTCAATAAATTGAATCGTCTGCAAAGAATCAAATGATAGTTTTCCCAAAAATGTATATGTTTGCATAGCAGCAGCAAGCAGTATGACTGAACACTTGTGCTGCTGGATAAACCCTCATCTTCTCATACGGTCCAGGGTATATATGGGCATGTGTCAATTTTGGAGCTGTTCGTATATTCAGTTTAGAGTCTTCGTTATAGAAATGTATGAGGTGTTTATTGTCTATGTAATTTTCACCACCGATGAAATTATGTTTGAAAAACATATTTCTAGTTGACTTTAGCAAATGCGGTGGGTCAAACATATAAATAACCTTTTGTTCATTGGCATAAAAATAAGGTCGTGTTGGACTGACAAACACCTTTTTGCTGAAATTCAGGAAATTGGAGCCTTGGTCAGTTATAAATGCTTTGACATTCAAAGAAATATTTTGAAGTTTAGCAATAGTAGACACAATAATGTTATGTAAGTCATTTCCAGTACAACTGCCAGATACCAACAAATATTCAATAGGTTTTTTCCATTGAACATTAATTCCACAAATCATCAACACAAATGCAAATTTAGCCAGATCATAAGTTTTTGTTGAATTTATTTGATGGAATCCGATAATTTCATCCTTCCTCAATGAATAAAATAAATGTGTTTTAAGTGCCATTTCATCAGCGCATAAAGTGCAATCAAGTGCTTCCGGTTTAAAATTTGAAATTTTAAACTTTAAAAATTCAAATAAAAAGTCATTCAGTCCAGGATTCAACTCATATTTACTTATAACTCTTTTTAAAGTTCTTGGTACTGGAAGACACAGAGTAAGTCTCAAGAAACGGTATACAGCTGGTCCTAAAAATTATATCGTTAGTGCAAATTGTTTCAATTCATCTGAGTACCTGTGACCATTTGGACATTTTTTCTGACAACGAATATGTGATTTAACAATGGTTAACAAGCTTGGAGATAAAAATTTTTCACATTGCTGCATATAGTTTTCCTCATTGTTTATGTCTGCCAACTTTTGCCTCAAAGTGGCAATATTTTTTTGTGCTTCAATCCTTGCCTTTTTTTCAAGTTTGTACTTTGATTTCAAGGATTGTTTTCTGGGTGTGTCGTCAGACCACGACTTCAGTGTTTGAACAGCTACTGACGATGCTAAACAAATATATATATAGAATATAGAATATATTATAAGATAAAACATGAATTGAATTTAAAATCAATATATTTATTATGCATAGACGTAAATAGCGTTTTTAATTGCATAAGGCTTAAGCACAAAATATTTCAAGAACAAAAAAGTGCGGGATATTCGTTTTATATAACGTTATAACGGAAAAAAATTGATCTGAGTGAAAACGCTATTCATGCAATTGTATCAGAAACAGATGTCACATCCAATTTTGATGTGTTACAAGATAAGGTAGCTACAGCTCTAAACAATAATAGTGATGTGAATGGTATCAATCAATGTATAAGATGTTCTGTGCATACATTTCAACTGTGTGTTGAAAGTGGACTGAAAGAACTCTCAATTCAAAAACTATTAACAAAAACAAAAACAAGTAAAGTAAATATTATGCTAAAATATTTTTGTTTCATATTCAATACTTATTACATATTTATTTATGTTTTACTTTGCATAAGTAGTTAGTCAAATGTCAATAATTTAAAATGCCTATTTTAATTTAAACTAAATTATTTGTATAGGTTGTAAAAGTACTTAGTACTCAATCATATGCCGCTCTTTAAAAAAAAAGAACATAAAAATATTTGATGTCAGAATTCCAATCAAGCATTAGTTGAGCAAATAGCCCAAGATGACGATTCTATTCATTAGAAATAAGTGTTATCACAGATGATTTTGAAGAGTATCTGAGAGCAACTGCACAAGCTAAACAATACCTCCAACTATTAATCTCAATAATTCTTATAATGAGATAAAAACAAAAATTGAAGATTTTGCAAATATTGATACAGTTAATTATAAAGAAAATGTTGTTCAGTATGGGTTGGCAAAGAAACATGAAATGCCAGAGTTATTTGAGCTTGCAGAAATTGTTATCGCTGTACCAGGCTACTCAGGTAAATATTTCTTGTGCTTTTCAAGTTTAGTATCAGTTAGCTCTTTGCTAAAAACCCTAGGAAATTCTACTTATTTCATAATTCTTGCACAGCAGAGTGGATAATTATGCCAAAAATAACAGTAGTTTATTGAAATAAAAATTTAATTTTATATTTTTCTTTAAATTATAACATTTAACAAAAAACGAAAAATTAAAATAACGTTTAAAAATGTAATAACGTTAAAAGGAAAATAGCAAATAACGTTTCAACGTACAATAACGTTAAACATTAAATATGTATAACGTTTAAATAGGAAATTTAAAAATGACAGTATTTAATAATATTAATAATTGTATTTGAAAAAAAAGAAAGTATTTAAACACATGCATACAAACAACTTAGAACATAATATAAGTCATTATACAATATAAAATGTTGAATTGAATTCCTTAAATCATAATATATTTTCAATTTTCTATGCCTTTGTTGCACAAGTGTTCATTTATCAGCCTTCATAGCACTCTTGGTGGTGATAACTGTCTGTAGTAAAATTTTCAAGCACAGAATAGATGAAATGAAGAATGAAACAAGCAACGATACATTATCAATACACCTTGAAGAGGATAAATTATGATAAAAATGTATTGTTAAACATAAAATATTATAAACTAATTAAATAGTAGGTAATTGTAATTTTATAAAGCAAAAACTGTACAAGTACAACTTACAATTTTTCCCCGACTAATTTGTTTCAAATGAATAATTTGACTCCGAGTCAAGTGAAACATAGGAATGATCAGTATATGGACTGTTTATGGTGTTGTGTGAAATCATATTCTGAGTTAGAAGCAAGTTACCTAACAAATGAATTTGTTGAAATTAATGTTATGGGTAGAGTAGGTAATAATACATATGATAAATAAATAATATAATAATTACTTGGTGTTCTAGAATCCAATGTTAGAGCTAACACATTTGGAGAAGAGAGAATTGTTCTTTCACATTCTGCAGGAGCATTTGATATATTATTGTCAACAGTAGAACAAAAATCAAGTTTACGTGAAATGCTGCTGGAAGATGATGGTGTATCATCTAAAACATAATACAAACTATACAGTAAATTTCATTTTCAAACATAATAAAACAATCTAATATAAAAATGAAACTGTGCACTCACTTATAAAATGTCTTGGTATAGCATGACTATGAAGTCTATTTTGAAGATCATTTAAAAACATTTTTTGTTCAAAATGTTCGCCACACTCTTTAAGGATTTTTTTATGGAATCAACAGGAATTGTGATACCACAGTTTTCAATCCACTAGGCACGGCTATGATTAAAAATTATTTATTAGTTTTATTACATTTTTCTATATAATGATTTTATTTTATTCTACATACTTAGTTGGATCCCTCGGAAGCGAAAAATAACTAACGTCAGGATTTTGAGCCATTTTGTTTTGACAACCTGAATACGAACATTTGATGTAATTATTTGGAATATTTAATGTATTCATTGTAAAAATTAATACAAAAACAAACACAAACAATTGACAAAAAAAAATTCATTTAATGCAAATAACAATTAACACAAGCGCAGAATCACATGAAATAATATGTGAAATTGTGAAAAATGAATTGCGAAATAGTGAATAGGCCACGAGAATAGCAAGAGTTTAGCACAGCGTCTTCGCTTGGTCATGATGTGCAATGACACCCTTCTACATCAACAATAAAATGTTAATACATTTTAAAATTACTTAAAAATTTAAAATGAAACACTAATTTTAGATAACTTAATTTTATTATTTACGAGTATATAAGTATGTTTATTATTAATATTAAATAATTTTTTTACAGTAGTCGATCCTAAAAGAAAAAAATATATCCTCAGTAGATCTTCATCAAAACAAGTTTGACCACCCCTGGTATATTGTATACGGCTGTCGATTTTGTGTATTATGCAACAGACGGTGTGTTGTACCTACGTTTTTGAAATCAATTTTGTGAATATTTGTTTTTATCTTATGTTTGAATACATTTTTGTACAAGGATCTATCATAGAATAGATGAAATGAATAGATAGATCTATTAAAAATGTCTTTAAATAATAACGATACACGCAGCCAGAGTAAACAAATTTAACTGCCGATTTCTTTAAAGACGCTCAAATACGTACCGGCGAAGCTTGTGGATTGTTAGAGCGCACTGAAAAACGTATTTGTTCTGATGCAAAACATTCAGAAGATAAACCCGATGGATCAAAGTCAGTTTTATCATTCAAATCTCCACGCAAAAGCTACAAAATTGTATCAGAGCTCGACGATTTTGATTCAGATGTCGTTAGAAGAACGGTGCAAGAGTTCTACGATCGAGATGAGTTCCCAACTGCGAATTTTATATTAAATGCTTTAAAACAGAAAATCAATTATTCTGGTTGCTCGTTGCCAATACAACCCAATTGAACTTATATGGGCCCAAGTTAAGAGTCAAGTGGCGAAAAACAACAATACGTTCAAGATGGTGGATATCGAACGTCTTACCCACGAAGCATTAGATGCGGGAACCAAAGAGGATTGGGAGAAGTGTGTAAGACATGCCGAACAATTACAAGAATTAGATAACCAAAAGGAAATCCTTAGAGACGCCTTAATGGAACCAATAATTTTGACGATATTGCCTGATGATAGTGATTTCAGTGATGAAGAATCAGATATAGAGCAATTGGAATAACTAACTTTATAATATTTACATTATTATATTATATTATGATTTATTTTTATTTTATGTGTACATATAATACATATTTGTAGATTGTTTTACAATTATTAAATTGTATGTATAATATATGTATTGAAATAATGTTTTAAACTAATAATTCTTTAAACCATTTTGTCCCATCATTCGTATAATAATAAATGAATACAATATACCATGTGAATAATTTAATTTAAAAAAACGCGGCAATTAGATTTGTAATAACGACCCCTGAGTGGAAATGGCCGCTAGAGTCGCGCCGGTCACCGGCGAGTTTTCGTCGCCCGTGTTCATTACAACTTAATTTCATAACCTAACAAATTTTCTGACAGCATAAATAAGAAGATGGCGGCTCCCACCCCCCACTACATGCAAAACGGCCCTTGCTTTAAGTGTCCTTTCTGATTTCATCTATTCTGTGGTACCTACTATCGCGGAATAATAATTATGTAACACGTTCGGTGTGTACAGCGATAGACCGGCGACGGCGGCGGGCAATCAATACGAATGCGAATTTATAGTTATACGTATGGCGTTCGCCATAATTCAATTGTTCTTGTATTTTAGTTGGTATTGATGGTGTAATGTGTTTAGACATATCTGAAAATATGATTCAGCATTCTACTTCTACATCTGAAGTCATAGGTAAAGATGATTATAGAACACATTTGTTTTTCCTTTAGAAACATTTATCTAATTAAGTTAAATTAAATTTTTTATCAGGAAAGAAAAAACAGTTAGGCATACTGAAGAATATAAATGTACGACGCAGGGTAGATTTGACTCCAAGGAAGGGACGAACGTATGATGCCCTTAAAGAAGCGAAGAAGAAAAACTCATTACTTCATTATAGATATACTGCTTTTAAAACACGTATGCAAATAGCTGAAAAATATATGAATGATCACAAAGAATATTTGAGTAAACATAATCAGGTCACTAGTACATTCATTGAATCACAAATCAGAACACAATCAAAGAAAGCAAAGGGAAGACGATTCACACTGGATGATAAAATATTTGCTCTTTTATTATTTAAGGAAAGTGGAAAAGCTTATAGGTTACTCCAAAAAGTATTTGCCTTACCGAGTAAGAGTTCGTTAATGGGCTTATAACAAAAAATTCCATTTGAAACAGGAATAAACAAAAAATGTTTCAACACCTAAAAAAAACTGTCAGAAAAATAAAAAATCCACTCGATAAATATTGTACAATCATTTTTGATGAAATATCATTATCTGCAGGACTGCAATACGTGCCACATAAAGATAGGGTGGTAGGGTTTGAAGATCTTGGTAATAATAAATCCAAACCATTATTTTCTGATAAAGCGTTGACATTTATGGTTAGAGGAATTCGTAAGAAATTCAAACATCCAGTTGCTTTTATGCTTACGAATAGCTCAATGAAAACACCAAACCTTGTAGTTGCTATAAAAGAAGTTTTAGAAGCAGTGCAATCAACTGGCCTGGTAGTGGCTGCACTTATATGTGATCAGGCATCTACTAATGTGGCAGCTATTAATAAATTAAAAATGGAAACAAAAGAAAAGTATCTCCAACTTGGCAAAGAAAAGAAAATTTTTGGTTTCGAGATAGGCAACCAAGAAATTGTACCACTATTTGATCCGCCGCATTTATTGAAGTGTATGCGTAACAACTTAATAACAAAAAACTTAATATTTTCTGATAGTGGAATAAAACGAGTTGCAAAATGGGAACACCTTACTCAGCTATACGAACTGCATAAGACAGAGTCAAATATTGGTGATCGTATCAACCCAAAGATAACAGACGCTCATATATACATTGAAAAAAATGAAAAAAATGAAAGTTTTACATGCTGCACAAATTTTTAGTCAGCGAGTTGGTTCCATAATAAAACTTCTTGCTACATGGTCAGGTAAGTTAAATTTTGTAAAAATAAATAGTTTTTAATTGTATTAATTTTTTTAATAGTAAATTCAACAGTAATGCAACTCGACCCATCAGCTGTAGACACTGCTGTAGTTTGTCTTTTTATGGACAAACTGTTTGATAGCGTAAATGGAAGTATGGTTCTGCCACCAATTGGAAAAGACTTAAGAAGTGCAGTGATAAAAACATCTTGCCACTGGGATTTTTGGAAAGAAGCACTAAAGTTTTGGAGAGTATGCAGTTTGACTGCAAACAAAATAAAGTTATTTCTATTAAAAGTTGGATAGAAACATTAAAAGGTATAATGTATGTATCAAAAACATTATTATCAAATGGGTTTGACTTCGTAGTTCTGAGAAATTTTAACCAGGACCCAATAGAAAAATGTTTTTGCTCAATTAGGAGTCATGGTTTAAGAAACATAAATCCTACTTGTTGCGAAATAGATAATTCTGAAAGAATTTTAGATAGCTTAAAAGAATTAGTATTATTAAATGATTTCGAGGATGATGTTGTAGAAAATATAGGAACAGACCAAACACAAATTATTGAATCCTATTTTAATACACATCAAACAGTAAATTCAAACATACAAAATAATATCAGGTCATTTGTTACAGGTTGTATCTTAAAAAAGATTAAACCATTTTTAAACAACTGTAAGATATGTCAGTATAAATTAACTCTAACAAATTTTTAAATGAATATAATTTTATTGTTTTTTTAAATATGAAAAATGTAAATTAAATTATCCTACTTCAGAAGCTACCAATCTATATAGTTTAGTTATCCATTTCTTTAATATACATGTATTTGACTTAATTTCAAAACCTAATTTAAGAACAAATTTAATCTTAAGAAGAAGACAATATATTAATATTGAGTCATTATTGTGTCCAAAACATGACTTACAAAATATATTTTTGAGTACTTCTATTAGGCTACTCATTTTTTCCTTTATAACAGAAAAAAACTACATTTTAAATAAAGTTGAACAAAAATCAAAAGATAATCAAAACTCAATAAAAATCTCCGCTTTAAAATATAATAAAACTTATAAATCAAGACCTCAAAAAATAATAACCATGAAATCCGGTGGAAACTAGTCATATAAGTATTGACACTATACATAGCCATTTCTTCCCAAAACATTGTATTTCATTATGTAGGTAGGTATTATCTATTTGAAATTAGGTATAACTTATCATTTATTAGTATATATTTATTATATTTGTAATAATTTTGTACATTCAAATTCTATAAATTCTTAGATTTTTGAAATGTATAATATACAATTAATTTTAGTGTCTATATTATTAAGGTTAGGTATTATATTATTGTAATATACTGGTGGCTCTAATAGCTACTAGTATATTACGTCGTCTCAGAATGAAAAGGTTCTAACGCAATTTATGTAATTGTTCAGGGGAACGTTTTTAAGTAGGAAATTGAATAACTTTTTTCACCATAATTACTAAATCGTGAAAATTGTATGCAATATCAAGAAAGTTCCAAAGAACACAACTTTATCTGCAAATTTGTCTTTCCTCAATTATTGACTGAGT